TCTAACAAATACACATAATTGTGCAACATCTGACATATCAGTGCTTTCATCAAGCTGGAGTGAAAAATATTCACACGATTGCAAATCCTGATGTATTTGAGATTCCAGATTATCAGAAATCTGTTCGACTCGTCTAGCAACAGTTTTGTGAGACAACTGAAGTCCTTTGATAGAAGTCATAAGTGCAGATTTATCTTTGTGACCATCGAACAGAGACTCGCCAGCATTGGTCATGGCTTCTTTAACTATTTCCCCATCACTGAAAGGTTTTTTCCTTTTAGCTAGCACATGACAGATTTTATAAGAAGCTATTGTTACATTACTGCTTTGCTGGATATGCTTTGTAAATACACGTTGTTGCAAGGTTAATTTAGATTTTAGGTCTTTCACCTTTTGTTTTCTTAGTTCAGATTTCACAGGAAATTCACTGTTGAAGTTATTGTGGTTAGTCAAAAAATGTCGCTCTACATCACTTTTTTTAGGAACAGACACGCTACTATTACACGGTAAACACACAGGTTTTCCTCTGTATTCAATAAAACAATACTGCTCCTCCCATTCACTGTTAAAACTATAACTTCTTTGTCTTTCAGCCATATCAAGAATAGCTATATAAAATAGTACTAATTATTTGCTCAGTAATTTGAAGAACAATAACTAAAATACACTGACATCTGTGTAACTAGTTGAATGTCCTACTTGTCACAACACATAACAACTGAACTATGGTCGTCACAAACTCGCAAGTAATACTGAATGTTTGGCTGAAGAAAGCGAACTTGGAAATATAGCTGCTACCAATTTCCATTAGTGTACGGCCCTCTTAATAACCTCTTATTGTTTGTGGCATCACTTTGTTGGGATTAAAGTAACTTTGATTCATATTGCCAATTAGTTCAGAAATTGGGGAAACTGTGGTAAGCTGGGCCCCATAGTCATGTTCTTATTGTTTGCGGCATCGCTTTGTTGGGATTAAAGTCACTTTGATTCATATTGCTGATGAGTTTAGAAATTGGGGAAATTACAGTAAGCTGGGCCCCATAGTCATGTTCGTGCCAGTGAATATGTTTGCCCTGCTGAGCACAGAAAATTTTATGGTACTCTGACCATAAATCCGAAATCCATGAAAGCCGATTCATTGGGGACTTGCGGCTGTTTGAGGGGTGTAAAAATACCGCTACGGAAAATTACCTGATCTTGAGGATGACGCTTTCTCTAGTGAAAAAAGAATTAAGACTGGTGTTGTTAGCAAGGGAGATAAGAAATAGGCATACATTTTTAAAGAATGTTTAATACTGTACCATGCTTCAAGGAAATTTTGTGAAAATATTTAACGGTACTCAGACGTTCAAAAATGTCTTGGCTTACAATTTGAATTAATAATAAAAATCGGGTCAATTATATGTGCTTACGGAGGGCGCCAGAAAAATATATCACGGGCGCCACGTTGGACAGGGCTGCTCTAGTGGCTTATTGTATTGTGACATGGATGGCGCAACAGGAAGAAGGGGTCGCGTGAGCTCTGTGGTCTCGCGAGTGACGTCACATATCCCCACTCCTTCCACCAGTATGCAACAATCGGTGGGCGCCCCCCTCCCCCCACGGTGACGTGGCAGAGGAGCGGCTGCGCCAGGCAACCATTGCCGCGGTGACATAACAAGGAATACAGTGGTTACTACCCAGCCGTAAACAACTCCCAACAGCGTTGCTAGCAACACTTTTAAACACAGTGTCAGTCAGCACATTATCTCTGTAAATTCATTGCATCATTACATTGTACTATGAAGAGCTTATGTCAGAAGTATTTCGTTATTGAGTTTGTTTGATCTTAAGATTGCTGTGTCACCGTGTTTCAGTTCCAAGGCTTGCAGCATCAGCAGGCAGACCCCCACAGCAGGTGTGCAGGTTCTTCCCAAAGTGCAGCAACACACACTGTCGCTTCTTGCATCCTAAGGTAACAGTGTCTGTTTCAGCAACTGTGGTGTGAGGGTAGCTCATACATCCTTTGGGAACAAAAGTAACAAATCTAAATTATATTCACAAGGAAACAGAGTGAGAGCTGGTTAAATCCACAGAATGTTTGCTATCATTCAATTCAGAATCTTTCATTAAAGTGTTATATTCGTGTATGATCATATGAATACGAATATCTGTTAGGCAGTTTTGTTCTGCTTGCAGCCTTGTCGGTATGGCCGGTACTGCAGCAGGAAGACAGACTGCAGTTTTCTTCATGAAGATATTCCACCGGCTGACAAACTGAAGTGGTTTTGTCCCTTTAAGTTGTGAACCAATGTCTGAGTGCATTGTGTACAAGTTTTACTATACTAGAGAACAGATGCAATCAAGAAACAAGGAACTGGATGTGAAATATAACTCTAGAGCATTCTAGTCTTTTTTTCTGGAAGATATTAATTTTAACCCATCCTTTGACTCCCTTGTCCTTTCAGTTCTTCCTCTGGGTGACTAGCAGACAGTCACACTAGTACTGCAATCATATACACTATTTACGTGACTGAATATTGTACTTGATATTTCTATGATATTACCTTACACACATCATAGGAATTCAGAACAGGTGTGTGTGTTTTCATTCTTACCCTTCATTTAGCCCACTATTGGAGATGGAATTGTCAAGTTTCCTCCCATCAAGAGTGAAATGGGTTGCTGCAGCTGCACATTGCCACTGAATGCTCACCATGTTAGTTTCCTGTTTGACCACTTGTGCCCAGTACGTTTGTTCCCAATTCACACAACCTTTGAAGGAGGTGAATGTCAGCGACCATATATCTCCATCCGTAAGGTGAGGATTTTTTTTTTTTCTTTTAACAAACAATGCAGGGGTGGGTGTCGTATTTGCAAGTGAACAGAAGATACAAGGTCAAATCCAGTTCAATGATTTGGGGGAAATACATATTTGGCAACTTTGGCATACCTCAAAATCTGCATATGTAGTTATGTTTCAGCCAGTGGCCTCTGCTTTTGATGTACTTCTTATAATAAGACATGTACAAAGGGGCGTTCAAGTTCTAAGGTCTCTGATTTTTTTTCTCTGGACTGGTAGCAGATAGACACATGCGGTTTAGTTTAAAATACATGTGCACTCTTTGTAAATGCATGACAGAGATGGCAGCACTGTGCAGCACACAGAACTGTAGTGGTGGCGGTGACAGTGAGGAGTGTTTTTGATACCTAAAATGGCAACGTTTTCATTACAAGAACAGCGAGTAATCATTCGTTTTCTCCACTTGCGTGGTGCGACACCCATTGAAATTCATCGCCAGTTGAGTGAGACATGTGGTGATGGTGTCATGGATGTGAAAAATGTGCATTCGTGGGTGCAACAGTTCAAAGAAGGCCGAACATCGTGTGACAATGAACCAAAACAATCTCGGCCTCGCACCAGCCGGTCTGACAACATGGTCGAGCGAGTTGAGAAAGTTGTTTTAGAGGATCACCGATAGAGTGTGGAAATATCGTCTCCAAAGTTGGCACTTCCATGGGATCTGTGCACACAATCCTGCATGAAGACCTGCAAATGCAGAAAGTGTCCTCCAGGTGGGTGCCATGAATGCTGGCAGATGACCACAAGGCTGCGCGCATGGCAGTTTGCCAGGCGATGTTGACACATGATGAAGGCATGAATGGGACTTTCTTCTCATCAATTGTGACAGTAGATGAGACATGGATGCTATTTTTCAATCCTGAAACAAAGCGCCAGTCAGCTCAATGGAACCACACAGACTCACCGCCACCAAAAAAATTTCGGGTAAGTGCCAGTGCTGAAAAAATGATGGTGGCCATGTTTTGGGACAGCAATGGCATAATCCTTACTCATTGCCTTCCAAAGGGCACTGCGGTGACAGGTACCTCCTACCAAAATGTTTTGAAGAACAAGCTCCTTCCAGCACTGCGAGAAAAACGGCCGGAAAGGGCTGCACATGTGCTCTTTCACCAGGACAATGCACCAGCAGTGCATCGGGTGTACGCGACGCAGAAGTTTCTTCATGAAAACAACCTTGAAGTGGTTTCTTATGTTCCCTACTCACCTGACCTGGCTCCTAGAGATTTTTGGCTTTTCCCAATGATGAAAGACACTCTCCGTGGTCACACATTCACCAGTCATGCTGCTATTGCATCAGTGATTTTCCAGTTGTCAAAACAGACTCCTACAGAAGCATTCGCAGCGGCCATGGAATCATGGCGTTGATGTGAAAAATGTGTATGGCTGCAGGGAGATTACGTTGAAAAGTGACAGAAGTTTCAAATTTTTTGTATGATTATTGTGTGGGAAAAAATCGAAGACCTTAGAACTTGAACGCACCACGTATCAGGTGGAGTTCCAAATTATTATCATGATTGCCTCTATTCAAGCAAACAGAATGGTAGTTTGCAAAATATCTTGTGTCAGTAGACTGTGGACACATGAGGTCAGTGGGCTGATGCTTCCTAGTTTATAAATGTTCATGGTCCTTTGTCTTCAGTACACCAATATTGAATGGGTACATGTATGTCATTGTATTCATTTTAAAGTTTTGTCAGTGTTTCAGTACTTATGATACAGAACTTGACCATGTGGCATGAACTTGGAATCAAAAGGGATGCATGCTGCACACATTTCTGCATTCTCACAAACTGAATGTGATGTCAGTTTTAAATTAATGCTTATCAAGTGTTTGGAAGAGACAGACCATTGGGCACACGTAGCAATCTGACGCCAGTAATAAGAGCTTTGTGAAAGTTGAACGTAAAAGGAGGGTGGTTCAGTTAGCAGTGGTGATGAGTTCAGAATAATTTTGTATGAATAAAGAATACGATTATTTTTCCTCCAAATTTCTTTTATAGAAAAGAGGGACAGCTAATAGTCAAGAAAATACACTGTATAAGTTGTACCCATTTCACAGAGGCAGAGTTGTGAAGTCTGCTGTCTACAGGAAGGTCCTTTCCTCCAGTCTGACCCACACACATACTGCATCGCACACACCACCAAACCTTCATCAAGGCATTGCGTTGCCTGCAGAATGGTGCAGGCAATTAGCTGTGGTGCCTGCATTGACTTTCTGATGGAAAGCAGAAAAACCATTCTAGGTTATGTGTCGTTGCTCCTTTTTTTTTCCCCCTGCTCTTGCTCCCACTTTTGAGCAGAGTGCTGATTTCTCAGTTTCATGATCATTTTTACAGACAGTAGGACTTCTTAGATAGGTGATCAGCTTGTCTCAAGGCCTCTACCTAAACAGAGAATAAACACACGAAACATCCATGTCTTGTGTGGGATTCGAACCCACAATCCCAGCTTCCGAGCGAGCGAAGACAGTAAATTCCTTTAGACTGCTCGGCTACAGTGACCAGCTGTGGCTGCTCTGCTGCTCATGATTCATCTTGATGGACCATTCTTTCAGAGTTGTTCGTCTGAAACAGAACTGGTATATTCCTTTTCATATCATTATTTGCGTTGTGTGATTTCCTGTTCTGTTTCACCTAGTCGTAAGTTTCAGATTGTGCCACATGACCATTATCATAACCAAGCACATGGTCAAGTCATTAACACCCCTGCCATCTTCAGAGATTGGCTGTCCTGGCTGGAATTTTTCTTGTTTTTTCCACAATTCTTTCAGGCAAAATTCTGGGATAACATCTCAAATTAATAAGCTAGTACCGATTCCTTCCACATCCTTTCCAATTCGTTATTTACAAATCATCTTGCCATTTAACACTGTATAGTCTGAACTGCATACTGTCATTAAGTATTGAATAACTAAATGTAAATAAATTACTATCATATCACATTGCTACCAATGTTACCATTATAAATACAGTGGAACCTCGCTTAACGAGCGACATTTCGAATAACAAGTGACGAGACGGGAAGTCCCGGATTGTGCATTGCTACATTAGTCTGTGTTTAGCACTCGTTCCGCTAGCATCTTACTGTCGCTTGTGATCACACATTTTTCCAAACTTGTGTTCAGACATATTATTTGTGAATTTTTTTGTGCAAAGTTTAATAACCCTTGCAAAAATGTCCCCAAAGAAGAAGCCGCAAAAAGACAGCCATAAGAGAATAAAAATAACCATAGAAATGAAACGTAAAATCATTGAAAAGCAAGAACGAGGTGTGAGCGTGGCTGAGCTAGCATGCACATACAGTCGGTCTGCATCAACGATTTGCACTATGCTCAAGAACAAGGACAAGATTAAGGAGATAGATGCTTCAAAGGGAGTGACAAGAATATCTACGCAAAGGTTACATATTCTCGATGATATTGAAAGGTTGCTCCTCATATGGATAAACAAAAAGCAATTGCAAGGCAACACTATTAACAAGAACATCACTTGTGAGAAGGCGAAAGTGATTTTTGCCGACCTTGTTAAGAAGGCACCAGGATCATCAACGGCCGAAGAAGAAGCATTGAAGGGAAGCTGTGGGTTGTTCGAGAAATTTAAGAGAAGAACTGGCATCCACAGCATTGTAAGGCACAGTGAAGCAGCAAGCTCCAACAGAAAGGCAGCAGAGAACTTCATCGGCGACTTCAAGAAGCTCGTAGATTCTGAGGGTTACCTGCCGCAACAGGTTTTTAATTGTGACAAGACGGGTCTCTTCT